AAAATAAGAAAAGCTTCTGGGAAGCCGCGAATGCCAGGCGAAGAAGCTAAGTCTCCTTTAGCATAAACACGACGCCTGCCACTCCTGCAGGCACTCCATGTTGTTGTTGCTGTGGATGTTGTTGTCGTGGTTTCCAAGCAGCAACATTAAAGTCGAGCGAAACAATGGTAAGCTTTGCCGAGCGACCGTATACTCGTTTCAAGGAAGCATATCTGAGCCCGGATTTTCTGCTCTCGTTGGCAACGCCCAGCGACGGTGAGCATTGACCATATATAAGTGCAGCACTTTGGCCTCGTGATCCAACTATAGTTTTGTCAAGCCTGACAATGACGGCGCTTTCAATAAAATACCCAGCTGAGTGATTTCTATATAAAGCCGAGTACCTTGTTGAGAACATTTTCCTAAAAGACGAAAACAAAAAATACGCGACTTTTTTATAATATTGTTTTAAGAGGTGCACTGTCGTTTTGGACAGGAAATCATAGTCTGAGTGGATGCTTTGCTTGCGTACTTTACTTCGTGTGAAAGAATAACAGTTGCTTTCTTTTGGTTGCTAATACCCCTGTTACACGGGCACACTTAACTGCAGTTACGCTAAACCACAATTAGCGCACAATACTTGCCGACAACATTCTGCGGCGATGCAGTCAGAGCTATGGGCGAACGTGCGCTTGAGCATCTTGAGCACCCATCAAAGCAGTGCACGCGCTCTCTTCACTGCTTTTGAAATAGCTGTCCGAGGGTATAGTGCGGCATCTGTGCTGCCACGTAACCGCAGTTAAAGCTGAGTTAACCGCGGTTAAGTGTGCCCGTGTAACAGGGGTATAAGCTGCCTCTGTTGACGTATAAGAGGAATATTATCTTGCGAGTATGAAATTACTGGATATTAAAAAAAAAATAACTGCAGCTCTTCCGGCTTATAAAACATAAGCCGAAAAACATCGGCTATTTTCTTTCCTGTATTCTGAAAACAGAATAACCAAAAAAAAAAAAAAACGTGGCTCACATTTTGTCTGACATGTTCTGTACAACGCTTTGTCAGATTTGTACGTAACGCGTCACAAATAACGCGTTACTTTTACTTAGTTGCTTTCTCCCGCAACAAAGTGACAACCTATACTTCGTTTCAGCTTCCGTCCGAGCTCAGCCAAAGCTACGTGTAGCCGCAGCCAATCACACGCCGGCAATAGGCCACGCGATCTCGCCTGCACTTTTGTATCACTCCGCTGCTCCGCTGCGCTCGCCGAGTAGCCAATGGAATGTATTTCGTCTGCTACGGGTGTATCAACGGTATCGTCTGCTACAGGTTTAAAAAGTGCCCTTTCACGTTCTGAAATTTAGTCACAAAGGATGCCAGTACGTGGGCTACCCGCTGGCGTTTGTTTCCGGGCTTTTCACCTGTTCGGCATAGTTTTGAGATGTAAGTACACGTTGGAAGGTGCTCGATGACTCGGCCGTTGATGTTTCCTTGATTGTCTGGATATACCGAGGCTCGAGGCGCAGTCCTTTCTACCAGCTTCTCGGCGTTCAATGTGATCGACAGGTAAAAGGGTGCCCTGATTTCGCTGTGTATCAGTAAAATATAGTCGCCCGGTTCGGTTAACAACTTCGCGGTACGACGCGGCCGGAGTCTCCTGTCGAATGTTAAAGCAGACATTTATCACGAGTCCTTTCGCGCCCGACGTCCAAACGTGCCTTTGCAAAGGTACGTCTTAGAGCGACTAGGTGAGGAAAGAAGCGAAGCACATATGATTCGGGCATTACGGGAACGAAATCCCACAGAAAAACCGAGCTCTGCAGCCGTGTTGCCAGCAGATCAACGTGTTTTAACCAAACCACATGCATTTACATATATTAATAAAAACATAAACTTCAAATATTTAATTCCTTTAGTTGCAAATCATTCTCAGCCGTACACATCTGGTATATTGTGCGATATTTATGCACAAAACAGTTATTAAGAAAAAAAACTCTTGCGGACTACTTTGCGGTGCGTAGGAATGCTCTTCTCGAAGTTGCGAACCGCCCCTCAGCCTTTGGCTGCGCTCGGACGGAAGCTGAAACGAAGCATAGTTACATCTTTTAAGAGAAAGAAGCAGTAACGTAGTTTTTTACTTTTGATAAAGTAACGAGTAACGATATTTAGTTACTTTATTTCAGTAACGTGTAGAGGTCTCCGTTTTGCATGGCGTACTAATAAAGCGACCAGAAAAAAGAAAAAAAAAACTCGCAGATATGTGAACGTGTGTTTTGTTTGCGGACAATTTTAGTTGTTGGTCTTGCTGAAGTAACCAACTCGTATGTCTTAAAAAAAAAACTATATTTTTTTATATTATTCGTTTGATGAGAGACACCTTGAACCGATTAAATTCGCAGCGGTTTTTAAAACTGAAGTACAAAATATCTGTAAGTAAACAAAACAAAAACAAAAAAATGATGCCCTATGCCCCTCGGCACAATGAGCGCTAAAGAATGTAGGTTGTTTTCGTTTTCTTTTTTAATGTTGGGGGTGTGGGCTGAGTCAATAGAGAGTTTTTGGTAGATCGTGTTTTCAGGCCACGCTAATCGTAGCGGGAGCTCGCGCTGCCACTTCGATGCATGCTCTGAAGCGCGCGCTCGTAGCGGTAGCGGGCCTTAGAAAACGATCCACTAACCGTGATCAAAAAAACTGCTCCGACTTTACTCAACAAGATTAACAATTTAATCAAACGTTTCGTCTCCCATGCAGGAAACATCGTCAGTGAAACCTACAAGCAGGAATGAGAGAAAAAACTTCAACAGTCCTATTTAAGCAAGTCCGCGTACACATCGGGGAGGGGGCCGCGGTTCGAGTTGCAAGCTGATGAGTCACTTCGGATGAACCATGATTCCACGAACCTGCGTGGACCCCACCTTTGTTCGCGCGCCACAGTGGACGCATTCTCAAAGTCGAAACAGTGACCCGTATTCCAACAATGGTCTACGAGTTCCGTCTTCGCTCTTGTCGCATGCGTGGCCTTCGCCACGTCCCTTTTGTGTTCGTTTAAGCGAGTGCAGCGCTTCCGGCCTGTCTCCCCAATGTAGGATGCGTCACAGTCTAGACAATTCACTTTATACACAACACCGCACTGGGACTCTGGGGGGGTGTAATCTTTAGGTTTAGAAATGAGGTCACGTAGTTTACGATGGGGTTTGAAAACAGTACGGATATTCAAAGGGGCGAGGGCCCTGCGAATAGACTTAGAAACACCTCTCAAATAAGGTATTGTTACTTGCCCTGTCCTAAGTCGTCCATTATCCTGACTTCTTCTTTGCCCCATCTGTTTGCGCGTGTTATCAATAAAACGTTTCGGATAATTCCGCTTCATCAACAGGTCAACAACAACAGCATCTTCAGAAGCGCGCAATTGAGGATTAGAAGAAATGCGTTCGGACCGATGTAGTAAGGTTTTTACGACAGCACTTTTATGTTCGACAGAATGGTGCGAGTTAAAGTTTAAGAGGTTGCCTGTATCGCAAGCTTTGCGGTACACTGTTGTATCTAAGCGACCGTTACTATGTCGGAACACATTAACATCCAGAAAAGGCAGCGCACCGTTCTGTTCAACTTCATGTGTGAATTGGATTGATGATTCAACATTGTTTAAAGCTAAATGAAAGTCAGCAACATGGTCCTTGTTTAAAATTACAAAAGTGTCGTCCACATAACGTTTGTAAAAACCTATCGGGAGCATACCCTGTTCAAGGACAGTTTCCTCCACATACTCCATAACCAGATTTGCCATTGTAACAGAAATTGGGCTACCCATTGGACATCCTTCAATTTGGTGATAAATTTGTCCGCGAAACGTGAAATGCGATTGTTTAAGACAAAAACGCAGCAAAATTACAATATCATCCACCGTTAACGATGTGCGTGATGGAAGGCTGTCATCCCTACGTAGGCGTGTTCCGGCTATCTCAACAGCCCGAGAGGTGGGGACATTCGTGAACAAGGACACAACATCAAATGAAACCATTATGTCGTCTTCGTCTAGGACGTGATCCCGAACCAGGCCCACGAATTCTTGGGAATTCCGTACTGTTAAACCATTTTTACCTGTGACCGGAGTGATGAGTTCGACCAGATATTTTGACAGATTGTACGTCGGAGACCCAATAAATGAAACAATAGGACGCAACGGGCACTCGGGTTTTTGAATTTTGGGGAGACCGTACAATTTAGGTGTAGACCCATCAGAAGAAAAAAGACGACGGTACATGGCATCGTCTAGGCGTTTCTTCTTTTTTAGATCGCGGAGGTGATCAACAAGGGATCTCTCAGATTTAGGAGTGGGGTCCCGCGGTAACGTCACAAAATGCGCTGTGTCGTCAAGAATTACCTGCATTTTTTCATAATAACTTTCTTTATCGAGGATAACAGTGCCTTTCCCCTTGTCAGCTGTAAGAATAATAATTGATTGATCCGATTTAAGATCCCGTAGTGCCGACTGCTCCACCTTGCTCAGATTCGATGGCGTTACTTTAGCATTATTAAGCATAGTCGATATGCGGCTGCGGGCCAGATTGATCCCGGTCGTATCCTGTAGGTGACGAAGTGCCTCCTCAATTTCAATTATAAAGTCTCTTTTGGGAACTACACGTGGGGCTAGAGCGAAATCAAGTCCTTTCGAAAGAAGACTTACATGACCGGCGGAGAGCTCTTTCGATGACAAGTTGTAGACCGCTGATGCCGGTGGTGTGGGGACCTTTGGAATTAGTTGGGACAGTTTCTTGTCATGGGTATCCGTGCATTTGACCCTTTCCATTTCTTCAGCTTGCTTCCGTGCACCGAACGCGTGGTGCATGTCGTCAGGTTGGAGAGTCCGTCGCAGGAACTTCTCAGCTGTAACAAGCCGGTGCCGACAGTCGATGAGTTTCTGCTTGTTGTCCAGGATCCGTGCCTTGAGGCAGTCACGGCTGAGGTTCTGGGCCAGTTTTCTTCCATAGGGTGTGTCGACCCGGGGGCGACATCGTAGACCATGTGGAATCACGTTGTGGTTCAGGCACTCACGGTTGAAGCGTTGATGGCATTCCAGGCGGACGATCTTTGTGGACTGGTTGAAGTATTCTCTCAAGTTGCCCAAGGCAGCAGAGCCGTACAAGGTGCGAATGAATGCAAAAATATTCCAAAAGCCGGGAATCATAATGATCAAAAAAACTGCTCCGACTTTACTCAACAAGATTAACAATTTAATCAAACGTTTCGTCTCCCATGCAGGAAACATCGTCAGTGAAACCTACAAGCAGGAATGAGAGAAAAAACTTCAACAGTCCTATTTAAGCAAGTCCGCGTACACATCGGGGAGGGGGCCGCGGTTCGAGTTGCAAGCTGATGAGTCACTTCGGATGAACCATGATTCCACGAACCTGCGTGGACCCCACCTTTGTTCGCGCGCCAGAGTGGACGCATTCTCAAAGTCGAAACAGTGACCCGTATTTCAACAATGGTCTACGAGTTCCGTCTTCGCTCTTGTCGCATGCGTGGCCTTCGCCACGTCCCTTTTGTGTTCGTTTAAGCGAGTGCAGCGCTTCCGGCCTGTCTCCCCAATGTAGGATGCGTCACAGTCTAGACAATTCACTTTATACACAACACCGCTCTGGGACTCTGGGGGGGTGTAATCTTTAGGTTTAGAAATGAGGTCACGTAGTTTACGATGGGGTTTGAAAGCAGTACGGATATTCAAAGGGGCGAGGGCCTTCAGCTTCAGCCGTGACTGCCTCAAGGCACGGATCCTGGACAACAAGCAGAAACTCATTGACTGTCGGCACCGGCTTGTTACAGCTGAGAAGTTCCTGCGACGGACTCTCCAACCTGACGACATGCACCACGTGTTCGGTGCACGGAAGCAAGCTGAAGAAATGGAAAGGGTCAAATGCACGGATACCCATGACAAGAAACTGTCCCAACTAATTCCAAAGGTCCCCACACCACCGGCATCAGCGGTCTACAACTTGTCATCGAAAGAGCTCTCCGCCGGTCATGTAAGTCTTCTTTCGAAAGGACTTGATTTCGCTCTAGCCCCACGTGTAGTTCCCAAAAGAGACTTTATAATTGAAATTGAGGAGGCACTTCGTCACCTACAGGATACGGTAACCGGACAAAAGCTCACCGGACAAAAGCTCACCGGACAGAGGCTCACCGGACAAAAGCTCACCCGTTTTTTGACAGACCCGGACAAAAGCTCACTTGTTTTTTTGACAGACCCGGGCAAAAGCTCACCTCGATTTCTTTTTTTTTTCCTACCCGGGCGAAACACGGGCTGAAATAAAGTGCGGACGCAATGTACATTGAACCATTTTTAGGAGAACTTGCACCTCATCCACCATTGAGTTGCGAATTTTTTAAAAATACTTTGAAAGAACGGGAGTTCGGCCTTTTGGAAAAGTACAAGACAGATGACCAATTTAAAAAAAATTGTGCGGGATTTTAGATAGGCTCGGGTTCCTTCCACCACAGCTTGTTCCACAAGAACTAACCACCAGGGAAAAGTCTACCGGTGACATCGCTACCTGCTGGACTATTTTGATTGCACGTATTTCAACGGCCGCTTCCGTTATGCTTCTGTTCCATCTGGGCGGCACCCAGAGCGAATTCTTCCCTTCGCCTGACTCTGCGCCGACGGCGACCGGAGTTTCCCCCGGTACGGTGGAATATGTACGACACCACTCTTCAAGATAACGACCGGATGAGCAACACCTGCGAAAGATAGAGTACCGGGTTCCAGAAGCTCGTCGGCCTCGCCCATCCAAGCGTCTTGAGGCTGATTGAATGCCTACAGCAAAATCAGGCGCTCGTTGCCACGGCATTGGCAAAAGCCCGGAGAGGTGAGCCCACCGTAAAGCGGGTGCGAAAAATTACTCTGCACCTGCAGAATAGTCTTAGAAATATTTGCGAGGGCTTGCATGTACATCGAGATCTACCAAGACTGCTGGAGCTAGTGGGGGACTGCATTCGCCTCTAACCAATCGATAAATAAACTTGTTTCTACTAAAATCAGCAAACCATGCGCCTGTCAGAATTAATTTATCGTTGCCTTTTTGTGTCGCACGCATGCACCTAAGTTGTCCCCACTCATGTTAAGACCAACATGAAATTTTCTCATGGTGAGCTTTTGTCCGGGTCTGTGAAAATATGGGTGAGCTTTTGTCCCGGTCTCTGAAAAAATGGGTGAGCTTTTGTCCGGTGAGCTTTTGTCCGGTGAGCTACTGTCCGGTGAGCTTTTGTCCGGTGAGCTTTTGTCCGGGATTCGGATACGACCGGGATCAATCTGGCCCGCAGCCGCATATCGACTATGCTTAATAATGCTAAAGTAACGCCATCGAATCTGAGCAAGGTGGAGCAGTCGGCACTACGGGATCTTAAATCGGATCAATCAATTATTATTCTTACAGCTGACAAGGGGAAAGGCACTGTTATCCTCGATAAAGAAAGTTATTATGAAAAAATGCAGGTAATTCTTGACGACACAGCGCATTTTGTGACGTTACCGCGGGACCCCACTCCTAAATCTGAGAGATCCCTTGTTGATCACCTCCGCGATCTAAAAAAGAAGAAACGCCTAGACGATGCCATGTACCGTCGTCTTTTTTCTTCTGATGGGTCTACACCTAAATTGTACGGTCTCCCCAAAATTCAAAAACCCGAGTGCCCGTTGCGTCCTATTGTTTCATTTATTGGGTCTCCGACGTACAATCTGTCAAAATATCTGGTCGAACTCATCACTCCGGTCACAGGTAAAAATGGTTTAACAGTACGGAATTCCCAAGAATTCGTGGGCCTGGTTCGGGATCACGTCCTAGACGAAGACGACATAATGAACCATTTCGTCGTTTACCCTGAGACTGGGGGTTTTTTTGAAGAGCAGAAGAAACAGAAAAAACAGACAGGTCTGTTTCTTCTGCTCTTCAAAAAAACCCCCAGTCTCAGGGTAAACGACGAAATGGTTGACTTCCACCAGCTAGCCTGTACTTTGACTCTTTTCACGACATAATGGTTTCATTTGATGTTGTGTCCTTGTTCACGAATGTCCCCACCTCTCGGGCTGTTGAGATAGCCGGAACACGCCTACGTAGGGATGACAGCCTTCCATCACGCACATCGTTAACGGTGGATGATATTGTAATTTTGCTGCGTTTTTGTCTTAAACAATCGCATTTCACGTTTCGCGGACAAATTTATCACCAAATTGAAGGATGTCCAATGGGTAGCCCAATTTCTGTTACAATGGCAAATCTGGTTATGGAGTATGTGGAGGAAACTGTCCTTGAACAGGGTATGCTCCCGATAGGTTTTTACAAACGTTATGTGGACGACACTTTTGTAATTTTAAACAAGGACCATGTTGCTGACTTTCATTTAGCTTTAAACAATGTTGAATCATCAATCCAATTCACACATGAAGTTGAACAGAACGGTGCGCTGCCTTTTCTGGATGTTAATGTGTTCCGACATAGTAACGGTCGCTTAGATACAACAGTGTACCGCAAAGCTTGCGATACAGGCAACCTCTTAAACTTTAACTCGCACCATTCTGTCGAACATAAAAGTGCTGTCGTAAAAACCTTACTACATCGGTCCGAACGCATTTCTTCTAATCCTCAATTGCGCGCTTCTGAAGATGCTGTTGTTGTTGACCTGTTGATGAAGCGGAATTATCCGAAACGTTTTATTGATAACACGCGCAAACAGATGGGGCAAAGAAGAAGTCAGGATAATGGACGACTTAGGACAGGGCAAGTAACAATATCCTATTTGAGAGGTGTTTCTGAGTCTATTCGCAGGGCCCTCGCCCCTTTGAATATCCGTACTGCTTTCAAACCCCATCGTAAACTACGTGACCTCATTTCTAAACCTAAAGATTACACCCCCCCAGAGTCCCAGTGCGGTGTTGTGTATAAAGTGAATTGTCTAGACTGTGACGCATCCTACATTGGGGAGACAGGCCGGAAGCGCTGCACTCGCTTAAACGAACACAAAAGGGACGTGGCGAAGGCCACGCATGCGACAAGAGCGAAGACGGAACTCGTAGACCATTGTTGAAATACGGGTCACTGTTTCGACTTTGAGAATGCGTCCACTCTGGCGCGCGAACAAAGGTGGGGTCCATGCAGGTTCGTGGAATCATGGTTCATCCGAAGTGACTCATCAGCTTGCAACTCGAACCGCGGCCCCCTCCCCGATGTGTACGCGGACTTGCTTAAATAGGACTGTTGAAGTTTTTTCTCTCATTCCTGCTTGTAGGTTTCACTGACGATGTTTTCTGCATGGGAGACGAAACGTTTGATTAAATTGTTAATCTTGTTGAGTAAAGTCGGAGCAGTTTTTTTGATCATTATGATTCCCGGCTTTTGGAATATTTTTGCGATCTACTAACCGCCGAATTCAGAAACCTCACTCAAACTACACTCAAACTGAAGGGCCCCTCCACTTCCTCGAGGAAGGCGCGAGGGCCGGCGCTGGCCAATCGCGAGGACGGATCCGTCCTCGCGATTGGCCAGCGCCGGCCCTCGCGCCTTCCTCGAAGAAGAGGAGGGGCCCTTCAGCTTGAGTGTAGTTTGAGTGAGGTTTCTGGAATTCGGCGGTAAAACTCCCTATTAGGGACTTTTAGTACACCGTAATTTATTGGCGGCGAGATGTTTTGGTAGCGCCCTCCTATGATTTCCTCTCGTGACGTCATTACTTTGAGAACAACAAGTTTGATATCGACTGTAATGAGCATGGTGGAAGCTTGAACTCATTGCGCCCTGAAACCAACACTGCAAACACCGTCAAAACTAAAGTTCTTCCATTCCTCTTATTTGCCTCGAAGAGAAATCCTTTGCTGACGTCATAGTCGTATTTGGCCAATCGTAGAAGGCCGACCACAGCGACGCTTTCGATCACGCACGTCGCCAATAGAGCTACGCTTTGCTAGTGTATAACTCGTGCCGTCACTCCGAAGCATAGAGTGAGCACGAGCACGCGTACGATCTGCTAAAACTCTCTGTTAGTACGGTGAATACGGGACACTCCCCAAGGATAGAGAGTTTTCGTAGATCATTTCCGCCGTCCCGTAACTCTCTCCGTAAACCGATACGAGATACGGAACTTTGCAGTCAAAGCTATAGCGACGCGCATGCGTAATAGCTGCGCCTTCGTTGGGGAGAGCTGAGCGAAGGGTGGAAAACGGATCTGCGAAAACTCCATATTACATAAAAAAAGATGACAACAAAGAACCGCGAAAACACGCGTGACGGCGGCTGCGGTGCCGTCTTCGCATACGCGACCCCGTCGACTTCACCACATTTCGAGGCGTCGCCTGTCACGTGCTCTGGCGGCGAGAGGAGGAGGAGGGTGAGGGCCGAGGGTCGCCAAATGAGGCACTCCACCAGGGGAGGATTCGGCGTGGTTGTCGATTTTGTTGAATGCAAATGGAGAGAGTGTCCCGTACTCGCCCTAGCAAAGTATTTGATAGTACATAGAAGACAAGGCCTGCCCCTTACGTCATCACTAGTGGATCCACTCAGCGGCGCCTAGCTTGCGTGAGCATCGTCGACAGCGCATCTTGCAGTGTCTCCCAACAAAAGCGATTCTAGAACGCGGAGACGTCAAGACGGACTCGTCTGACACCGTGCGGCGTCTGTAGTCAACTTGCGGCGTGTTTGCCGCTTGGGGTCGGGTCGGAGACCTCCCAACGATGACGTCATGCGTGGGCCTTAACTTGTAAGTGGTAATGGCTGAGTTGTTCCTGCGATCACGTTGCCACAGACTATGGTTCACTACTGGGAAGGTAAACGACGGGTGACCTTTCTCACTTTCGCTCATTTGTTGGTGTCAATGTTGCCTTGTCCCGTTTCAGGCCACCCAATGTAATCACTCCGAGTCCGATGAGCGGAGTCACGCAGCCCGCTTCGGAGGCCGGGTGAGCATGTCAAAGGGTGAACGCCAGGTCCCCGGGGAGAGGGCCTTTCGTGCACCGCAACTGAAGCACGGCACACACACCGCCGAGACTGCGGTGCACCGATCTCGCATATTCCAGGTCAGTTCTGCACTCGCACATCTCAGAAGCCTGCTTCGCCGCAAGGGATACAGGACAAGTAATAACTCCCCGTTTAATGCATGTACAGCTCGGCTCGTTGAGCATTAGGCGAACCTTGCTTTTGAGACAGCCAATTAAAAAAAACTGTCAAACGATTATACAGGGTGTTGCGATTGACAGCGGTGACTGTTGAATTGTTGAAACATGTGCTTTAGAATATTTGCTTTCAATCGATGTGCTTTAGGATATCTTCTTTGGGCGCTTGGCTGCAGTTTCAGAGCTGCTGCTGTGTGGGCGGCGGAGAAAACAAAATGGAGGGGGGGGGGGGCGTATCTGGATAGAAGTGGCATGGTTTTGCGAGGGACGACGGGGCTATAAGGAGAAAGCGACAGCAACGAGGCGATGGGGCGGCCCCGCGATCACGTAGTTTTTTGCGTACAGACGCCGCCGGAACATGGCGCTCACAGCTCAGCTGTCGCTGTAGAAACTCGGGACTGGATGATGCTTTCCCCTTTTTGTAACATCAGAAAACTGGTGCGCTTATACTGAGTTCCGTAGTGACACCATATCTCTCTGTAAATTTGTGAGTGGAGCCTCTCAATGCAAACCTTTTGTTACAACAGGCTACACAAACAAATTTTCATGTATACGGGGAGGTTACACAAAACGCAGGTAGATTAGTATATAGCAAGACTAATGCCGTATTGGGCACTCACTACCGAAGGACCTATCTTAAGAGTGCAAAGCGTTCAGTATAATTATGTGTCTAATTAAGTTAGAATACCCATTTATATACAAAAAAAATGTTATATTCGTAGTTATAAACTCGTACTACATCATTGAAAGCCTTCGCTTGATACAGTCAAAGAACGATTTAAGCCGAGTGTCGAACAACTCGCAAATTAGAGCGCACAACAGAAGCTGCCGTGCCCTGAACTTTTCTACCGACATCTTAGAGGAATTTCATAACTAAGCTATCCGCTACATTCCACGCAGGTGCCACGGTAGCGCTCATGGACGGCACCGAGCCCTGGACGACGGCAGCGCTGAACGTGACGGAGGAGCCGGCGCCAGCCCTGGCCATGTCCGTTCAGGAAGCCGTGTGCACCGCCCTCACGCTCAGCATCATCACGGCCTTCACCGTGGTCGGCAACGTACTAGTCATCGGTTCCGTCTTCACCCACCGGCCCCTTCGCACGGTTCAGAATGTCTTCCTCGTGTCCCTGGCCATGGCCGACATCGCGGTCGCGCTTCTGGTGATGCCCCTGAACGTCGCCTACTCCATCCTGGGACGCTGGGTCTTCGGTCTACACGCCTGCGAGCTGTGGCTCACGTGCGATGTCCTCTGCTGCACCGCGTCCATTCTCAACCTCTGCGCCATCGCCCTGGACCGCTACTACGCCATCCACGACCCCATCAACTACGCCCAAAAGAGGACCCTTCGCCGAGTGCTCCTCAGCATCCTCCTGGTGTGGGTCATCAGCGCGCTCATATCCGTGCCACCGCTCATCGGCTGGAACGACTGGCCTGAAGAGTTCGACGAGACCTCGCCCTGCCGGCTGACTCAAGAGGCCGGCTACGTCCTCTATTCGGCCACTGGCTCCTTCTTTGCGCCGCTGCTCATCATGAGCATCGTGTACTTCAAGATCTTCCTGGCTACCCGGCGGCGGCTCCGGGAGCGCGCCGGAGCGGCGGCCAAGGTGCCTTCCCGCTGCGAAGCCGCTCTGCCCCTCGATGTGCTACCGTCGTCCGCCGAGGACACGCCGCCCACAGGCCGCAGCCGGCCATCGTTGACTGAGACGAGTGTGGCTTTGAACGGTCGACCGCCGACGGTTAAGGTGTATCCCTGCTGGGAAGAGAAGCAGAGGATTTCACTATCGCGAGAGAGGCGAGCCGCCCGGGTGCTGGGTATTGTCATGGGCGTGTTCGTGCTGTGCTGGCTGCCCTTCTTCATCATGTACGTGGTGGCGCCCTTCTGCGACGGGTGCGTGAACTCGGAACGCTTCGTCAACTTCATCACCTGGTTGGGATACATCAATTCCGCGCTCAACCCGGTCATCTACACAGTGTTCAACACGGATTTCCGCAGAGCCTTCCGTAGTATTCTCTGTGGTACCCGCCGAACGTATCTGTGAGTTCACCGACCCGGCTGCGTCTGTGCAGGACCGTCACTTGCCAAGATACGTCCTTGTGGCGCTTCGGGACGACGCCTCTTTTCCTTTAGTGGTGACGGCTGAGCTCGCACACTTGTTGCTATCTCCCTGAGATGCTTCCGTTAATGGTCTTTCTGACAGTTCTGTAGCACACCTGCGGTATCTACAGCGTGACTTTTGTCTATACATGTATCGCTCCATGTTCGGAAGTAGCATTACCGTACATCACGTAAATCATAGGCGGATGGACGTCCTAGGGTACACTAAGGCCACTAAACGCGCAGCACGCGAAAGTGTTCGAAGTGCTTCCTACGTCAGAAGATTAAGGACATTCCACAGTGTCTGTTGCCTCCCCTTGCGTTAAGCCGCAGTGGCACTGCTCATACATCATACAAAAGACATAGAGACATGAGAGAATTATTTGCGAGCACGCCTCAGGCATGTTCGAAGCGGCTTCGTGCATGCTCCTAACTTGTCTGCAGAGAGTTTTCGTTTGACAAATGTGACAGGGTCGGCATACAAGGAAGAAACACGCCGAAGACAGTGTTTGCGGACTGTTGTTTTGTATGATGTATTCGCAGTGCGACCGCAGCCTCGGAGGCGGAGCTGGACCAACATCACGTGGTGCACGTCTGCACTGTATAGCCAGAGCATTCGATTCACTTAGGTCTTAGGCCTCCATCGTAGACAGCTGGCCAGGAGCGATGTCCCAACTCCGGAGATTGTTCGTCAGCGGCGTGGTCTTCCAGGCTGAGACCACGTCCAGCACGACAGAGAAAAGCGCGTTGGTACCTTACAGGCAGAAACGATAGTTTCTGTCCCCAGTACTCGTTTTTTGATTATACTCGGTGTAAAACCAGACTTTCTCGTGGTCACCACAGTCATCTACTCCATTCCCACCGTAATGAACGTCAGATCCCATCATAACGGTTCTAAAAACGGTTGTTTTTTAAATCAATAGAGTTTCACAAAACCCCCGCTGGCCATCTCAGTATTCTGTGAAACCCCAACTCGAAGCCGGAAGTTTCGTAAACCTGTGTACCTCCACTGTTCGTTTTTATTTTTTTTATTTTCTCTCTAAACAACAAACGTACACAGGTACTTCTTGCTCAAATTAGTTACGTTTGCATTGTATGTACATACATTTTGAGTAGAGTTGCCAACCAGCGACTAGCGCGATTAACATGATTTAATCTCGTTTCACTGAAAGACAAGGAAATTGCAATATCGAATGACGTGGCCAAGCCTAGAGTGTACCCAAATGAGTTCTCCCATTATAAATAAGCGTACTCGCTTATTTCCAGGGCCTTGAATGGTGCATCTGTGATTTTGCTCATTCTGTTAGTCTTTTCGATTCTACGAAAATAATGAGGCGCCACTAAGGTTCATTGTGGCGACCGGCGGGATTCAGTGCAGGTGGACGCGGCTTACAGCTGGACCCTCCATATAGACAGTTTAAAAAACCCTGCCTCAAGGACACACATTCGAAGGGTTTGACCTATTTGTTCCGACCCGAAGTCTAAATATTCATAGCAATTTTTTCTTGCCCAAGAAATTTTGTCACACACTTTCGAAGCTTCGAGGGACATTCTTATTACGACCACCCAAACCTCTGTTGATTCAGCAAGGCTCGTTGTAGAGGAACTTCGCCATAACCCGGGGTGCTTGCGTGAGGACAACATGCGAAGCGCCAAAGCTTCTAACAAACTGCTTATTTGTTTATCTTCAAGATATCTTTATGCATCCTCAGTTAACTATGTAAACGAACTGGTCAGCTCCGCCTTGGTAAAACAGCTCGTTTCAATGGCCAATTACTTTTTTCCCTTCTGAGTTGTTGCTCAAAGGAGTGAAGTGTGAATGGTTAAGTGCACTTTTTTCCTATCACTTGTTGCAGAGCAGATATACTTGTTTATAGAAGATTTTCTGGTGTATCTCAGCATAGAACAGATTCCTCAAAACGCAAGCACATAGAACAAGATTTTCTTTTTAACGGTAACCATTCCATCGTTACGATCGTGAATAGAAATTCACCCAACACAAAGCGAGTCATGTTTATGGACGGCGACTTATTTATTGTGATAAATAAGCTTAAAATCGCACAAGACACGAGTCGTTTTGAAAGAAGTAGCTACATGTGTAAAGTAATCAGGTAGTTCGTGTATTTCGAACACTTTTTTTTTTCAAACCTGAAGTGAAACTAAAAGCGAGAAAGAGTGCCGTCTGCGCAAGCGTCCAGATAAGAAGGAAGGAGGAACCACACCACGTATAATGTTTGAGTACTCCCAGTCATGATAGCATCTAGGCCATAAGTTTCATTTTGAGTGGCAGGTCTTCTCACCAAGCTAAGCGAAAACACAATGACTCCTTGCGCACGGTACTGTCAAAGCCATCTGCCGAATACTCCGCAAAGCTTAATGCCTGCTAAGGTCCTCACGGATTGTAGACGTTTATCAGTCGAACGCCGAGACTCGTGTCTAAATCTAGGCTCTCTAGACATATTCGTTCCCCCTACAAGCAAACATCGTCCTCCTAGCAGACCGACACGAGATGGACGAATACGGCTGGCGCTTGCGAATCGGGCGTTAGCTTGCGCCACTTGGCCAGTGACGTTGACAATGTCTTAATTGGACGACCACGCTGCAATTCGGTACTTCACGTATAGACGCAAATTGGCCCGACGAACCCACACCTTGTCGCTAGCATGCATCGAGTTTTTGCGAAGCATTTTTGGCAAGTTGCGCTCATAGTACGACGTGACACGTGTCGTATAGTTACGTATCTTCTATTGACCGAGGGACGCTTTTATTCATGTACAGACTATTTCTTTGCTCTGGCGGCTCAGAGATCGACTGTACGAGTCTAATATTTCCTACACTTCAAGGCGCGCTCTCGCTGCTCGTAACTCATACAAAAGACACGGTGTTCGAGGCAAACGCGATGGCGGACACGCCTTCTCAAGCATCAAAGTGGAAAATGTTGGGCCAGTTGGTTCATATTCAGATATACATAAAAGCGCCGAAAACGACAGGGACAAAGAAGAGTGGATACAACGCAAGGTTTCTCAAGCATGTTCGCTTCATGCATATGGTAGCTTCGTCACATATGTTAGTTTCTGTGCGTACAAAGTGACAGGATCGCCACACAAGAAAGAAAAACACGACCTCAAATAGTGTTTATAGGCTGTCTTTTGTATAGTGTATGAGTAGTCGGACCGTGGCTCTGTGGGGTATGGAGTTACTGGCGGGACAGCGGAGATACGGTGGAGAAGAAACAAATGCACCAAAACTGTATTAAACGCCGCTAAAGAAAACGCGTGAAATAAAGATAGAATGCGAAAAATCTCGCATACATAGTCCTCGTTCGGGGTGCATGAAAAAAAAAAAAAAACAGAGTGCTACAGTCCATGTCTTCCCACAACACGAAATGTGTCCAGTGAGAAGTGAAGTGAGTAGAAATGATTCCGAGATATGAAATAAAAGCGGCTGTGCGGTGTAATATGTTTTCCCTGATTTCGATCTCTAGTTTCTGGGTATTCATCCAGTGCATACCTTGCATGTTTTCGCCGAGTTTGGTGGACTCAACGTCTTCTTAACACGGGAACTGGGACACAAGCGCGAAAAAGTAAATAAGGAGCGTGTATGTTTAGACGACGTGGAGTCAGCATAAGCCCCATGCAGTGGGCGTCTAATGTACCCGCTGTACGTGAAAAATTTAGCCTGCGCAATCCCAGATCTATATAGCCTGCGGTCTCTAAAGGCCGGTTCTCACATGCAGCGAAGCGCTGATGTAGCGCTCCTCACGTGCCGTCAGCTACTTATCGTCTGCCATGAGCAACAGTTTTGACTGTGCGATACAAAGCTGGTGAACGCTTCCGTCAGCACGCGCTTAGCGCGAGGTAAGCGCTATGCTTGTAGCGCTCCGCTGCATGTGTGAACAGGCCTTTAAGCTATCGCTCTGCGTGCTGCGATCTGCGGTGCATTAACAATCGATCACTGATTTCCTCCTGTTATCCACGATCAGACTTGGGAAGTAATCCGTTACAAGTAACGGTTTACTTGTAATCCGTTACTTTTTAATTTATTTTGTAATTGCCACGTTACTTTTTTTTCTGAAGTAATTTGTAAACTAATTTCCTTACAAAATATTGGTAACGGATTACTTTAATTACTCGTTACTTTTTAAAACATGTGAGCATAATGCAGCAACTGGAGCAATACGAGCAGAACATTCAGCAGCATAAAGAGCGCAAGTTCAACAAAATAGAAAACATCAGGAACGAAAGAATAACCGAAAAGAAAACACGGTTTTTTGTATGACCGGTCACTATAGAACTATACTAGAAAAAAGGCAAGGGCATGTACAAATATACGAAAGTCAAATATCAAGTAAGACAACGCCGAGTAGGCTCTCCGTTGCCTTTCATTGTGTTTTTCTTCTACTCCCAGGCAGGAGAAAGCTCTTCGTGTTTATTTTTTGTCTTTTGCACCGTTTTACCCTTTCCAACTTCTTTGACGGCTCCCGCCACCCGCACAGACATCAGACGCGGGTTCACAACTCGCGTAACAGACGATGTAGCCTCGCGTGAGGGGGTCGAATTCTTTTTGTCTTTGAGGTGCGCTACTTTATTCTAGCACGTTCTTGAGGTACGGCTGATAAGCGCCTGGCACGAGGCTAAGAGCATCGTCTTCGAGGGTACGGATGATACTTCTTTCGGTTTACTTATCTGGCCATGGTGGTCGAGTCCATCCGTTCACTTTACAGTCAACTGTCAACCAAAAGGCGGAAAGGGAGGGAAGGGGGGGGGGGGGGGTGAGCCATTTAAGGAGTGCCGACAGAGAGAGAGAACGCGTATAAGTGCTGTGATCCTCTATTCTTTTGTGAGACCGAAGGCTACCGCTTCTCTCGCTTTCTATGCCCCCTCCCCTGGCCTCCACGAATACGGGTATAAAATTGAGAACCGATGAACGATCGATAACCCGTAA